TGTGAGGGGGTGGCTTCGGAGGGGTTAAAGGGAAAAGGCCTTTGGCAAAATCAATGCTCCCACACCATGCACATCCTGCACAATATGAGGGTGGCGATCTAACGTGACGTCCGAACTCACCCCCTCGGTTTTTACTTCGTCCATTCTCAGGAACTCAGAAGGGGTCTTTTATCGCCTCGGAAGCTACTCCAGTCACTTAGTCATCATCTCAACATCCGATTGCCCAACACTAATTTTTTTTTCTGTGAGAATTAAATGAAAAGATGAAATAGTGCGGAGGGAGGTGGCTCGGCTGTATTTCTCCGGGGGTTGAAGGGGAAGGGAGGGGTCTCGTTGTTGTCGAGTCCTGATTCAATCCCTGATCACGAAAACTTTCAATTTTCAAGTAACTTTCAGGGTGCATTTGAACTTTTCTTGAATATTTATTTTTTTGGCAGATTGATTGATTTTTTTCCCATCACTTGCCAGTGTCAAATTATTTTTATTGGATGTTTTTCTAATTATTGAAAGAATATTAAAATGCATGAGAGACGTGGCAATGCCGCACGGATCGTTCCTATGGTTATTTCGAGTTGGTAAACCTGCGGAGTGTGTTCTCTCAGTTCCAGGGTCTAACCTATAGCTCTCCCATGATGCTTCAGCGATTATATTGATATTTGAATTGCGCGCCACTCGCGGTGAAGGCGTCGTTGCCACACGTGAGCCTCAATGAATAGAATTTTCCCCGAAACTCATAATTTCCCGTGTCATTTTTTAAAATAACTTTCTTATGGAATCTAGAAAAATTCTGGAACTTGTACGTACTTTCAAGCAAGATTTGATTCATCGCCCACTAGTTTTTTTTCAATAGTTCATTATTTTTTGGGGAGATATGAAAATTTCCCTGATTGAGAGTGAGGTAACCTCGGCCTTATAGCTGGAAGGGTTACAAAAACCTCCAAATTTCAATATTTTTTTTCTTGAAGCCGAGAACTAGAAAAAATACAAAAAAATTCCCAGTAAGGCAACATACTTAGATATTTCTCTCATGAATTTTTCCATTTTTTTTTCATTATTTTGACCTTTCACACGGAACACCTTAAATGAAATCTCCCGAGAATCAAGTTCAATCGTTATGTAAAAACAGGAATATAAATAAAAATAAATTTAAGAAATAAAATTCTAAATTTATTCAAAAAGTCTAAATTTAAGGTAAACCTTTAAAAATCGTTTCTTTAAGGTACTTCCGCAGTAAGTATACTTGGTGAAAATTTCGAAATGGTATAAAGACGCAATATTTGGATCATATGTTGTTGACCACATTAAAAAGATATTTCCAAAATTTCAAGTCCCTGGTCCACCCCATTTTTGAGATATGCATCGCCAAACATTCAATTTTTGTGTTTTTTCCATTTTTGACGATGTATATCTCGAAAATGGGGTGGACAAGGTACTTGAAATTTTGGGAATAGTTTTTGAATGTGCTCAACAACATATGATCCAAATATTGCGTCTTTATACCATTTCGAAATTTTCACCAAGTATACTTACTGCGGAAGTTCCTTAAGGGGCGACTGCGCTGAGATTTCGAGATCGCTGGCGATTCCGAAATTCCTACACGATCTCATAATCGATGTCTCCATAATCTCATTTCAGATTGGATTGTCACCTGGTGACCTGCCACCGCTACCCCTTGGACCAGCACCGCTGCGACAGCTGTTCCCGAGGATTCGCCTGGCGTCCCCTGCTAGTCCGTCACCGAGCCCTCATCCACGGAGACCTCCGGAAGTACCCCTGCGAGAACTGTCCAAAGGTAACTATTCCCCCCGGTAAATCCAAGGGAGATCGGTGCAAAAGAGACCGTTTTAAATCATCTATACCCCAAGAACATCAATACCTTAATTTCTCGAAATAATGAAAAAAAAACCTTCCAAATCAAATTCCCCATAAAAAATGGCCTCACGATATTTTTTCCTAAAACCCCTCATAATTGAGATCATAAAAAAAATTGAATTTAAATTGACATTTGTTATTAATTAAGAGAGCATGGGGCAAAATGAAACATTACGGAAACGATTCCTCGATACAATTCAGGATTTTTTTTGTTTTCCGTTAAGGGTCAAACGGTTTTGAGGGTTAAGGACTCTTAATGAGGGTCAAAGCTAAGGGTCGAATAGTCGGAAGGGTCAACGGACCCTTAAGGACATTAGGATTGAGGGTCAAATGGTCATAAGGGTCAAACGACCCTTAAAAACTTTTAGAATTAAAGGTCAAACAACCCTCAAAAATGTTTAGGAATGAGGGTGAAATGGTCTTAAGCGTCAAACGTGTTGATCACAAAAATCAATTGACCCTTAACCCTGTACGTCTTCGAGGGTTTTCAAGGGTCGTTCGCCCCTTGAAACAATTTGACCCTCAATTCCAAACCACCTTAAGAGGATCCTTAAGTGTCGTTTGCCCTTTATGATCATTTGACCCTTAAACCTTCTTAAGGATCGTTTGACTCTCAATTGAGGGTCAAATGGTCTCAAGGGTCAACCAACCCTCAAAAACGTTTGAAATTGAAGGTTAAATGGTCTACCCCACAGGCCTTCAAGGATAATTTGACCCTTACTACCACTTGACCCTTAACCCTAAACGTTCTGAAGGGTTCTTTGACCCTTAAGAATGTTCTCAATGGTTGCTTGATGCTTAGGACCGTTTGACCCTCAGCCGAAAACAAAATAACTTCCCTAGGTCGGGAAGTTAAAAAAATTTCCTGAATTGTGCGAAATAATGGTTCTCCCTCGTGTTTCGTTCAAAACGTCAAAAGTCCAGATAAAAAATGTCAAAAGCCCTTTTTCCTAAAAACCCAGATCCCCCTAGACCCCCCCCCCTGGACCCGCTAAAAACCTCTCTTAACCC